AGAAATCTCTAAATTGTGAAACACCAGTTGTAATTAATAAAATTTGAAACTTTATTAAGGCCTGTTGAGTCTTGGTCCCAGAAACTATTTGGCAAATCCTTAGATTTCATATAAGCAGAATGAATTCTACTGTCACACATTTATAGATACATCTTTCCAATCAACAAAGAATCATCTTCAATGAAAACAACAATATAGCTATGAGATTACTGATCAAAATCAGTGAATATCTCTTACTGAGTACTTTGTAATGAATGTTTAAGATCCAGATACAAGTAATCTGCTCTATATTAATTTCCCTCAACAATATACTTGAAATAAGATAATCAAGATATGAAAGAAATGTTGATATGAAAATTGTATTGAGAAAATATTTATGGCTCATCTGGGTGAAGATAAATACTACTTAGGTGAATAATACTATCTTTATTTATTGTTAACAAAGATAAAAGGGACCAAGAATTTCAAGGAACTAAAGGTGGTAGATAATGTTTTATGTATTACTTTCAAGAAAAGTGTTCAATATAGAAATTTCCTAGAATGATAATAAGTATCAACAGTGTATAGCTAAAGCTAAGAAATTTCAGATGCCTAATTAACTACGCAATCTATTCACAACATTATTAGTCTTTGAAGATATTGCAAATATATATCAGTTGTGGAATGAGAACTTTAATATAATAATGAAAAACTTCGAGTATAGAGAAATTCCAGAGGGTAAACTCCAAATTTAAGTGATTTTTCAAAGCCTGAATATATTTCTGCAAAGATATATGAAAACCATGGCAGATTATGATTTATCAGAATTATTTTTAGAAATTAATATTGGAAAACTGTTGAGAATATTTCTAGAAAAATCATTCTATCACATTACTCTAGAAGATCTTGCCAAAGCAAATACATTAAATGAGCCCAGCATATAATATTTGATGAGGTATTGGGCCTTATAAACAGAGATGAATAGAGTATATTATTTGTAGATAGTCCTGCTAAAAGTGGAAAGACTTATCTCTACAATTGCCTTCTTGCTCATATATAAGCCAATCATCAGATTATGTTGGGGATAGTCTTTTCTGATATCGCTGCATTATTATTGCATAGCAAATGCATTGCACACTCTCAGTTCAAAATATCTATTACTATGATAGATGAAAGTATAACATATAATATTGAAAAGAGGATTTACTTGACCAAATTACTTCAAGAAACTGTTTTGGTCATATGAGATGAAGCTCCAATGATACATTGATATACTCCTAAGGCTGTTGACAGGACATTGAAGGATATCATAGAGAATAATCTTCCATTTGGTAATAAAATATTTATATTTGGGGTTAACTTTCAACAGGTTCTACCTGTAATTTGCAAAGTCACCAGAGCTCAAATCATTAATGCTACTCTTAACAAAATCTATATATAGATCCATATTCACATTTTTCCCTTAATCATCAATATGTGAGTTACCAAAACAATCCAAGCTATCAATAATGAGACAAGGACATTCGTGAAGTACTTTTTTAGGATAGACAATGGTATTGAACCTACAATAGAAGGTGACTTAATTTGACTTTCTGATGAGATAATCATATATTTATAGAATAATAATGATCCCGTTGATTCACTAATAAATACTGTATACTTCAACCTCACTGAAAATATATTAATAATAGAAAGAGCAATACTGATCCCATTAAATAGTGATGTAGATAAAATTAATAAGTGGATTATAATCAAGTATCCTGAGAAACAACATGTATACTACAGTTTAGACTCAATAATGGATACAATCTAAATTTGTATCCAATTGAATACCTTAATTCCCTAATATCTCAAGGTCTTCTTCTATACATACTTATACTAAAAGTCAAAACCCTATAATATTACTTAGAACATAGATCTGGTTAATGGACTTTGCAATGGAACAAGACTTATATGCTGATAATTTCAAACATAAATAATTAATACCAAAATAACAACAAGTGAACATAGTGGTAAGTATATATTCATCCCTAGAATTCCTTTTTTACTATCTAAAGATGCTGGTTTATCTTTTGTACTAAAAAGAAAACAATTTCCTATATGGTTTGCATTCACTTTGACTATTAACAAATCTTAAGGTCAAATATTATCATATGTTGACTTATATTTTTTAGGACCAGTTTTCTCTTATGGATAATTATATATGACTATATCTCGAGTAAACAAAAGACATAACACTAATGTTTTCATTAAAAATGACATGATTTAGGGCAGGAAGGAATTTACATGTAGAATGTTGTATTTAAGGAAGCCTTGATTCTTTAAACAAAAAATATGTATATATTATCTCGAAGTAAATTGCTTAAATTAGATAAACAAGACATTATTTAGAGTTGACCAATCAGATCGCTTAAATTAGATAAACAAGAATGATATAATATTATGCTATATTTATATATTTGATTCATAATCACTATATGGACATAAAAAGGTGTCTATCTGCTAATTATTTATATTAAAACTATTTATATTGATCAAACTAGTTCAATAAAGAAGAACTCACCTCACAGTTTGTTCCATCCTAATGGAAGCTAACCAGCCAAGGCTAGGCTAGTACTATATAAAATTATGAATATATAGAAGAGATGTATAATGTTTTTTATATATTGTTCTATATAATTGTTTACCAGGTCTATATATTGACCTTTTATATATCTATCTAATATATTAAGCTATATGTCTTTTTATAAAGTACTGTATCTGACTATTCTTTCAATTTTTCATATAATTCCTTACAGTTTTTTCTATTTCTGAAATTCTTCACATTTTTGGATCCAGATGTTATAGAGATATTTACTAGTTTCTTGTTTGATTTTTTTTATACATTTTTGTTTTGATTGTTTATTTGATATACATCTAGCTATTAAGCTATATGTTTTTTTAAATATGACTTCTTTGATAATGTATTTATGATATTCAGTATACTTCAGAAAGTTATTTCTTAGATAATTATTGATTTGTGCTTCTGTATCTTTTATCTCACTATATTGTCTAACTTTATCAATAATTGTATTCTTTATATGTTTTTTTGTTTTTTGTTATTGATCTTAACATATGAATGGATGTATATTTGTTTCTTTGGATCTGCAAGTTATACATTTGTCATCTTTGTAAAGGTTAGAAAGTTTCTAGTACAGTTTGTTCTATAGGTATAGATTAAATTTCCTTTATTATTGATCTTTTCCATTAGTTTGTTGTTTACCCATTCTAGTTGATTGCAGATTTATCATTTTTTGTGGGTCAATATATGTATTTAATAATTCAATTATTGAATTCAATTCTTGTTCTATTCAAGAGTCTTCATCTGTCCAAAGTGTGGCCTTTGTTAGTTCTTTAGCCATAGTTTTGATGGGAACTTCGAGTATATTGTTATTCTATTGGGGTATTGCAAATTAAAATAAATAAATAAGCAAATATAATTTTAATTTGGAAAATTTGTATATAAGTTTATCAATCTTTTAATTTATAATTTTATATTATTAAATTTTACTAAATAGTTAAAAATTTTATATTAAATTATTAATAAATTTTAACATATTTTTAATAAATTTTTAATAAATTTTTAATAAATTTTTAAAAATTATAAAAAAATTTTTGTTAAATAATTAATAAATTATTTTGACAAATTAATAATAAATTATAAATATAAAAATTTTTATAATATTTGTTATTGAATATTAAATATAATAAACTTTTTTTGCTGATTTTCTGACTATACACAAAAAAGATATATACAAGAAGTTTTTACATTTCTTTACTAATAAAGTCTTAATACTTTTCTTAAAACAACTTGAAAATGACTTAAAGAGCCATCTTTACTTTTTTTTTTTTGTTTATAAATCTTTTTACTCAAAAACTTAACTCTTAATAATCAATAAAAGTCAAGTAACACCTTTGATATCAATAGTAAGAAAGTTTTCAAAAAAAAAAACCTGACTGTAAAGTATTTAAAGGTCTATCTAACCTTTTAAGCAAGAGATTTATAAAGATTTTCTGTAATAAAAAGATATATTTTCTCTCTTTTTGACTGTTTAACCCTCTTAGAGCTTCCACTTTCACAGTTTTCTAGAAAATTTTGTCTACTTCAATTTGATCTTGAATTTTGAGTAGCATAAATTCTCATCAAAGGTAATTGACTAATATAAAACATATTAGTTTTTAAAATATAAACATACTTCTATTGATTATATTCATGTGTTTTGATAATATTATGGATAATTAGAAAAAAGGTTCTGGAAATATTTGTCTTCAAAAGCCCAAGTTCCTTAATAAAGACTTTCATGACATCAAAAAATTAAGTGATAGATAATGTGAATTAAAAACTCACATATTGTATCTAAATTCTTTAAATAGTAATAAAGCTTTAATGTAAAAAAGCTAAGGTCTAAATGCTTTCCTTAAGAAATTTCAATTCAGGGCTTACTTAGATAAAAAATTAGTTGAATTGACTTGTCCAATATTGCAAGTGATAAAAAAAATATTTTTTTAAAGTTCAAGTGAAGCAAAAAGACTATCACAATTAGATAAATCTCTTTTAAAAAGATATGTTTTTATTTTTGAATTTTTTTGGTAAGTCTTGAATTGTACCCTTTCATCTATCATTTATCCCATTCTCTTTTTTAATTTAATAATTCATTGGTTTTTGAGCAATCAACAGTGACAAACTGTTGATAATAATTCTAATAGATAGAGATTATTACCAATCTATTAAGGGAGTATAATATTGTTTCCAAAATCTGATTTAAAGTATTTATATATAAAAATAAATTAGTCACTTTATGAAAGTCTATAAATTGTTATAGATTTATTTTAATTTCTCAATAAAGATAAGCTATTGTAGCATAATTGTGGATTAAAAAAATAAAAATATTATTTATTATTGAATTATGTAATAATTAATTATTATAGATTTATAAATTTATAATATAATAATAATATTCTCAAATTTCTAAATATTATTTTTAAGTTTAATATTACTATAAAATAATATTATTTAAGCTTAAGTAATATAAAATGATTTTATTTATTTAATAATAATAATTCAATTATTATGATTAAAATTTTATCTAACTATCACAATTAAAAGATTATAAAATGTCTTAATCTATTTTAATACTAAGTTATTTATTATAGAATAATTTTTAAATAGTTAAAAATCTATAATAAAAACTATATTATAGAAGTTAATAAGATTTTAAAATACAAAAAAACTCTTTTTGCTGATTCTCTAACCACACACAAAAAAGATATTCACAAGAAGTTTTTTTTGCTTCTTTGCTAAAAAGTCTTAATCACTATCCTTAATACTTCTTGAAAAGTGACTTCAAGAGTTACCTCTATCCTTTTTTACTTGTTTATAATTCTCTTTGAACAAAAACTTGACTTCTGGTAACTAAAAACAAGCCAAGTAATACCTTTGATACCAACAGCAAGAAAGTTTCCAAAGCAAAAAGAACTAATAGTGAAGTATATAAAGGTCTTCTTTATCTTTGAAGTGAGAAATATATAGAAGTTTTTGATGATAGAAGGGCTTATTTTTCCTTTTCCAATTATTTGTGGGCCTCTTAAAGCTATTGCTTTTATGGTTTTCTAGAAAATCTTGCTTACCTCAATTTGACCCTGAATTTTGAACAGTACAAATCCTTACCAAATTTGATTGACCAATATGAAACACATTGATTTTAGGAAAAGTAAACAAGCTTCTATTAATCATAATCATATATTCCTATTATATCATAGATAATGTAAGAAAGAAAGTTCAAAAAGAATTTCCTCTCCAACTATATATATTTGACTCCAGGAAACAGTTATAATATCAAAAAATGGGGTGGATCTAACAAAAAAATTCTATCCCTTCTTTAAAATTCTCAAGTGGTAAAAAGGC